AAGATTTATTAAAGGTGATAGAGTGATTGCTAGACCTTTACATGACTTGCTGAAGAAGGGAAAATTCATCAGGACTGCTGCAGCTTCCTTAGCATTTGAAAACTGAAGGTGGCTATTACTTCAGCACCTGTACTTGCTCTTCCGGAACTGTTACTTTAGGAGAAGAAATTGGAGTAGTACTAGCTCAAGATAGCAGACCTATTGTGTGGCTCAAGTATTCATGGATGGAGTCTTCAAGCTCCATGGGATACCCAAAGCTGTTTTTTCTGACAGAGATGTTATCTTCACCAGCAAGTTCTGGAAGGAACTTTTCATACTATAAAAGGTTTGTCTCCTTACTTCATCTGGTTACCATCCCCAAACTGATGGTCCGACTGAAGTGGTTAATAGGTGTTTGGAATGTTGTCAAAGATATATGATTACCTCTGGCAGAATGGTGATATAACACCTCTTACACTGCTCTATACTCATGACTCAGTATGAAGCTTTTTATGGACAAAAATCACCCCCTTGACTACCTTACATGCTTTTTGATTCTCAGTTAGATATGGTTGACAGAAGCTTGCAAGCTATGGAAGCTACTCTAAGAACTCTGATGTTTCATTTGTCAAGAGCTCAGAATACAATGAAGGTCCAGGCTGACAAAAAGAGATCAGACAGAACTTATCAGGTGGAAGATTGGGTTTATGTGAAATTGCAGCCTTATACATAATTATCTCTCAAGGATCAGTCTTATAAGAAATTCTGCCAAATACTTTGGTCCTTTTCAAATTTTAGCCAAGGTTGGGTCTATTGCATACACCTTGGCTCTGCCAGCAAACACTAAAATCCATCCTATATTCCATATCTCTCGACTCAAGAAGAAGCTAGGATCTAATTTTTCTTCCATCACACTTCCGGTGGTTCACTCAGATTCTGGCCATGTCTTATTAGAACCTGAAGCTATCATTGATAGGCGCTTGGCTCCAAAGCATGGCAGGGCAATTACGCAAGTCTTGGTTAAGTGGCTTAATGAAACACCTTGCATGAATTCCAGTAGAAATTTTCACACTTTAATCCTTGAGGACAAGGATTGTTTGAAGGGGAAGGTATTGATATGAGCTTTTTAGGACAAGTTTCTATTTTTAGTTCACTTCTCAATTCTGTAATGAAACTCTTTCTATTTTTTGTGGACAATAGAGTGAGAGTCAGTTAAAACAATTAGGGAGCTGTTAGATTTAGTTAGCACTCACATGAGTTGTTAGGAAGTGTAATAGAATTTCCCTCCCAATGAAAAAGAGACTGTAAGGCATCTCTCTTGTGAATTTTCTGATATCAATAAATGCTTCTTCCTTTTCTCTGCAAATCACATAACTATTCTTAATTCTTGAGTGACTTGTTCAAGAGGAATTGATTTATTTGCTCTTTAGGTGCACTCGTTACTTGTATTTTCATTATTGAAGTTGTATCATCTATACAACATTTGAAGAGCATTATGCAACAACAATGACAAGAGAAGTGCTCTCGCAACATAGCACTTGAACTCTAGAGAGAAAAAAGCCCCAGATGATCTTTGCTGAAGCAAATACTTCAACTTCCTTAGAGTAGAAGAATGATGTAGTGGAGAGCTAAACAACTCTAGATTTTTTAAGGTAAAGGCGTGCATACTTCAACTTCCTTACAAGTCTTTTCTGGCTGATCCTTAGTAACATATCTTCGACTACTAACTTGGATACCATCCTACTTTCTCTTCATTTTTGGGTAGGGTTGGTCTTGGGTCGGGTTATACAGGGGAATTTAAAGAATTGGAGGTGGAATTTTTAAAAAATGACAATAGGAAGGCGACAAGTATTACACCATATTTAATTTATTTTGGGCTGTTAGTTTTAAGGGTAGGATAACGGTAGCGACAAATTTAGCTCCATGGAAATGGATGGGCGGAGGGGAGTTTTGTAACAATTCTGATAGTTCAGGGATAATTTTGGCCATTTTTCGTAAAATATAATATCCAAGTCTAATCCTGATCATCCATTAACTACTTTAATCTCTCATCTTGGCCGTCCAACTGAGATATTATTTGTTCACCCTTTGTAATATAAAAACCTCGCACGTGTCCTTGCCAATTCAGATCATGACAAAAAACAATTGGGTCGAACCACAAGCAAGTAAACTTGCACATGTAGGTAGTATCTAATTACCTTGCATCTCCTTGCCGAGCAGCAGCTGACTGGAAATTACGCGACATAGGTAGCATATATATTATATATTTATCATTTGTAGCTATTCTTTACGAAAATAGTTATTTGTAGAGATATTTGAATTTTATAGTAAATTCACTTATAGATATTTGTAGCTTAGTTCGCTAGAGCACCTGCTAACTAAGCGGAGGTCTTGAGTTCGACTATCAATGAGAGCATTCTATTTTTTTTTATATTTAATACCAGTGATACAAGCTGGTAACAATTGAACAATAGCTACGAATAGTAACTAGGCAAACTATAGTTATACTATATGATAATTAGGCTCTATATTGTCTTAATGAAAATTTTCCAATAAAAGATTGTTGACTTGAAAAAAAGGGCCTTCTTTCAGGAAGATGACCCAATTTTTCTTCTCTTTTTTATTTGAGAAATTTTCATAAAGCACTATCTTTTAGTAGTAATTAGCCATCTATACAATTTGCTATATTACGGATTATAGATACCTTTTCTATGGTTATAAGATGTATTTGATGTATTTAAGCTATTGTATTTATGAATACAGTAGCAAAAATAGGCGTGAATCAGGGAAGTCCAGCTAATCAGTTGTTGTATTCGAGTGTATTCGACTGTATTCATGGAATGAAACATGGGATTAGAGCTGGACAGATTATTGTATTCGATTGTATTCACGGCGTGAAATAAGGGATTACACTGTTTTTAAAACGGAAAGTGAATCAATTAACATAATAGGCTCCTAATATAACTCAACAAACTCAATTATAACACAAAAATTTTATATTTTCAGTTATAAAAAAGATTCTCAACCGAAAAATACCCCAAAAACATAGCAATCTTCAGAGAAATTATATAATACATCTGAATACATAAATTATATTAATTAAAAAAATATATGAATATATTTATGGCATATAGCGAGACAGTGAATATAATGAAATACATAGAATACAGCGGGATACATTGAAATACAATTAAAAAAAAGACAGTGAATACAATGAAATACATGGAATACAACGAGATACATTGAACTACAATGAAAAAAAAGACAATGAATACAATGAAATGCATGAAAATACATTGAAATATATTAACAGAAAATCAAGTTGCTCAGCCCCAAACTCCGTCGTCTTTGTTCAAGAACAAACCTTAATTTCCGGCGAATCCGCCGTTCACCGGAAGCCGGTAGTGAAAACGCGCCGCCTTTGTGGAAATTTCACTCTGAGTTGTGTGGCAAGATGACTTCTTCAAATTCTGGTGAGATCATGCTTAACGAACTGCTGCTATATTTAATTGCACAAGCAAACATTAAGGAGAAATTCCATGGCTTTTTTGGTTTATCAATTCTATGTCAGTTGGTGTAAAGAATCAGTGCATCTATTATACAATTCGAAGACAGTAAATTCGTCCTTACTTTGCTTTCATAGTAAATCCCTTTGTTCTTCTGCCCGAGCATCATGGGATATACACTCGATTGCAGTTGCCCACTGCTTGGGGGTTGTTCCTGTCGGAGAGACTAGTGTATTTGTTGCAATATCGTCTGTCCATCTAAGAAGAAGATGCCGTTAGAAGGAGGAAGAGAGGGGAAATTTTAATGGGATGGGGGAAGAGAATGGATGTATCAAAGTAGAGAGAAAAAGAAAATAGTGTAACTGAATAGCGTATTTAGTGGCTTAGGGCTAGAGGTAACCAAAATTAAATATTTTGCTATAAACCTTAAAAGGTATCTATAGAATATAATTTTTTTAAATGGTATTTATTTAAAATAAATAAAGTGTTAACCTTTGCTATAGGAGGTAAAAATTCCTTTTTATTTCAACTTTATTTTTGTTTCGAGGTCACACCCTTTACTTGGGGCCCAATAGAAAGTAGCCCCTAGCTACAGGCTGAAGATTGATCTTTTGTCTCCTTTAAACCTTTAGAGGGAATTCATTTAAGGGAAATTACCTATGTCCATTTATAAGTAGCTCATTGTAAAAATTGGCCAATTCATAAAATATTACTAATATTAGCTAAATATTATTAATATTAACCAATTATAGATTGGGTACATCTTAAGGAGCTTGAATCTCAGTTTTGGGATGATTTGGTGAAGTTTTGAGGTGGTTTGAATTGAACATTCGAAGTACTGAACATGAAAAAAAATGATATGTGTATCATTTGTGTAACAGATATGTATCATATTTGTATCAATTGTGTAACTCATGTATATCCATGTATACATGTGTGTGAGATACATGCGTGATACATGTTTGACACGTGTGTCGCAACAGAATTTTTTGAACTCAATTTAATTACGAATATTGATACAAAACCAGTCCAAATCTTCTCCAATCTTCCTCAAGTTTTGTTTATTGACTTATCTATATGTTTTTCATAAATTTCAACTATACCCATTGAAAAAGTTCCTTTTTTGCTTAGATTTTTGGAATATTGTTTTTTTTTTTTTTTTGTATATCATTACCTTATATGCTACCTCATCCATGAAATTTCCTTTTCGCCTTGCATCTAATATTGCTAATTACGCTTAAAAATATGGAAGGTAATTTTTGCATGTGATTCTTTGAGAGAAAGAACCTTATTTATTTGGTTTTTCAATTTTAAATGTACTTGGCTAGTTTTGGTAAGTCTATGACTAATGGCTAGAGATTGGTAAGTTAGACTTATTTGGGACATTTGTGTAAGTTTCCCTTCATTTATCCCAACCGCTTAACTTCATAGAATGAGATTACGATCGCATCATTATTCATTAGTGGGAGAAAAAGCTCTTTCGCAAAAAGAAATGAAGTTTTAAGTCATTTTAAGAGGCGCAAGATGGTGTAGGATGTTTCTCAATGAACAAGACAGTACAAAACTTTTCCTTACAATCATGTTTTATTTATCATACAAAAATATAGAATCTTAAAGTAAAAACCTCCGCCTAGATAGTACTTGGAGCGATTAAAGTTGCCTCAAAACTTTTTCAGCAGCGGCTATTGTCTGTTGGATATCCTCTGCAGTGTGTGCTAAGCTAGTAAATCCAGCCTCAAACTGGGATGGCGCAAGATAGACACCTTCCTCCAGCATTCCTCTATAAAATTTGGCAAATTTAGCAGTATCACTCTTCTTTGCATCCGAAAAGTTATGAACTGGTCCATGTGTGAAAAAGAAGCCAAACATTCCGCTTATATACCCACCACACATTGCATGACCAGTCTTCTTCCCAGCATCCAATATTCCCTGAATAAGTTCACTAGTGATCTTGTCCAAGTGCTCATATGCTCCCGGTTGCTTTAATCGTTTAAGTGTGTGAATACCAGCTGTCATAGCCAATGGGTTCCCGCTTAGGGTCCCAGCCTGATACATTGGTCCTGCTGGTGCCACCATCTGCATAATATCCCTCCTTCCTCCATAGGCACCTACTGGCAAGCCACCGCCGATAACCTTCCCAAGTGTTGTCAAATCAGGAGTTATTCCAAAATACTCCTGCGCGCCACCATATGCCAACCTAAATCCTGTCATAACTTCATCAAAAATAAGTAGAGCACCATTTTCTTTGGTAATATCGCGAAGGACATCTAGAAATTCCAGTTTGGGTGGAATAAAGCCAGAATTCCCAACAACGGGCTCAAGTATTATAGCTGCAATTTCTCCTTTGTTGTCATCAAAGAGGCTCTTAATAGCAGCAATATCATTGTAGGGGGCTGTCAGAGTATCATGTGTGGCTGCCTTGGGAACACCAGGGGAGTCAGGTAGTCCTAGTGTGGCAACTCCACTGCCAGCTTTAACAAGAAATGGATCGGCATGACCATGGTAGCAACCCTCAAACTTTATAATCTTTGACCGGCCAGTAAAAGCACGAGCCAACCGTAGAACCCCCATGCATGCTTCCGTGCCAGAGTTGACGAAACGAACCATTTCAATACTAGGAACAGCAGAAATAACCATCTCTGCCAGAGTATTTTCGAGGAGGCATGGAGCACCAAAACTTGTTCCTTTCTTCATTGTCTCAGCCAAGGCTGCTAGCACCTGCAAGTAAAGTTACTCAAGGTTTACTGCCTAGAAAAAAATGGAGAAAAGCATTAATAACTTTCACTCTTTTTCTCTTCTGCTGCCCTTCCTAGATGACAATGAATACAGGACCGAAACCATGTTTATAGTTAACAAATGTGCCTCAACAAAGTTCAGTAGAGACCATTTACATGCTCCATTCCTCTTAAAAGTTGTCACCGGTTGCATAGATAATTTGAACAAATAAATGTTTTTCAGGTTCTACTCAAGTCTGGACTGTATGGATTCAATCAGCTAGAAAGGTTAGCTCAAGCTCTAACTGAATTTCTTCAACTTAACTGGCCACATAGGTTTTTGTTTTTTTGCACCTATAGCAAGACCTATCAACAACATGACACAGACTTCTGTCAAAGCAATTAATAGAAAGTAACAGCCTACATGTTCGTACAAGTCATTAGACATTATTCTAGAACAACGTTGCTTTCATTTTTTGATAAGTAACAACCTTATTTATGACAAGATAGAGATGACAGAAGTTTACCTGAAATAGTCTTGCCATGTTTAATATAGACTTCTAGATGCACCAGTGTATAGGTGTGATACTATAAAGATTAAAGGTGATAAAAAAGAATGTGGTAGACCTAAAATCACATGGAGGAAACTCGGCAAAAACCTCCAGTAGCTTGGGATCTTTACGGTTTAGCAAATAACAGAACATGAAAATAGAAAGCATACATATTATTTAACTGTTGGGGATCAAGGCTACTTGTCGTTGTAACACCTCGATTAGATCCGGTACCGGTATTTGTCAGAAGTCTTTTATTCTTGTTAAGAGACTAATATGCCCCTGTAAAGATAAATGTGTGATTTAGGAAAACTCTAATTTCAAAAGAATCCTTAATTTTCCTTAAAAGATGCATTATTTAATATTGGAATGAAACAAACCTGCGTAGAGCATAATTTACTCACAGCATTATGTAGTCCACCCAAACTAATTTGGGAACGAGACATTGTTGATTAATTGATTTACTAATAAATTAGAGCTGAACTTCACGGTGGAACAGCCTTCAATTTTCTAACTCAACCCACTATGACAACAAGAAATGCAGCAGGTAAAGGTAGGGAGTCCAAATAACAGGTTTCTAGCAGAAAACAAGTAATCCCGCTAACGGGCGTGGCCAAAGAAATGAATGGTGGTTATCCAAATTTTCATCTAAATATGGAGTTAAAGCAAAGAAGTACACCTCGTCATCTGCATGACCAATGATAGCTGGCCCCCATGAACCGACATAATCAATGTACTCATTACCATCTATATCCCACATATGAGAACCCTTCACAGAGTCTATCACAACAGGTTGTCCGCCAACTGACATGAAAGCACGTACAGGAGAATTTACACCACCTGGCATCAACTCCTACCAACAATCATACAGGAGATGAAATCAATGAACTTGAAGGGAGTCTGAAATGAAGCAAAAACAGAAGGGGAGTCTTTCATGCTTTGTCATTAGATGCCATTAGAGAAAACATAAAGAAACTAATGAACACCATCTTAGAAACTGAACAACATGAAGCAGTAAACTAATGGAAGTAAGGGCCATATACTTCATTGTCAAAAGTCTTAAGTAATATTCCTCCTCCATTCAGTAAGCAAGCACATGATTGGTGGATTAAGAAAGAACAAGCTAAAGAAACAAAGGAGTGCAGTGTTTTCTTGAATAGATTAGTATAAAATATTAAAGTGACTTTAAACTTATTAGTCCAACAGTATTTAAAGTAATTTTCAAAAAAAGGAAAAATGCAAGAAAAAGTTAGAAGTAAAGCGCATGCTTCTTGAGGTGAAGTGTACAATTTACGGAAAATTATGAAATACCAAACATATATGAATTTTAGTACAATAATAATCAAATTGCAATTAGAATAACTAATTATAGGATAACTAATTTCAGCATACACTATACAATGACGCTGGCATTAGTGCAACTCCTCAATGTTGAGATTTAAAGAATCCACTTCTCTTTTGGATTATTGTATATGTCATTGTTTGAAGCGCACATTTCTCTGAAGCGCATGGTGAAGTGACGGCTTTTCATAATACTGATTTAATGTTCATAAATACGAAATATAAATCAGATCGGAACACATTGTTTCACTAGTCTATTCTACACCCTTCTTTCATGCATGAGCTTCTTTATGTTATAATTCCCTTTTTCAACCCAAAGACTAAAACTATTATTAAATTTCATTTCTTTCTAAGTTCACGATGCTTCTAAATTTCCTGTCAAAAAATAATGGAAAGCTTTCATAAAATAATGGGAAGCTTTTGCAGTTTCTCCTTACATGTACCTACCAACCATTTTAACTAGATTTCGAGTGACATTGTAACTAAAAGTAAAAAGTGATCCAAAAACCAGAAACATGCTTTCTTTTTTTATGAAGTAAAAACCAGAAGACATGCTTTAGCACATACAATTTACTACTTGATCACATTCATCAAGTGTAAGGCCCCTAAAAATTTCCTATAAGTCTGAGGCCTTAAAGCATGCTCATGAATCGCTTAGTTTCCGTTTTGCCTTCCATAAGAGATTATGGACTAGAACCAACATAAATGATCATGATAGTAAATATAGGAGGTGTATTGGATGTGGTTTAGGGTGTAAGGAGAGCCCTAGAACTAAGCCAAGTTGGGAACTATACAATGGGCTAAAGTTTCAAATGAGTTCGCACGAGACCCTACTTCAAATGAGTACCTCCCAAAGTATAACGATTTATGTGGTGAGCTACCTATCAAATAAAAGCTCTTTGAGTCTACCTTCCAACGAATCAAACCGTTTGTCATCTGGATATTTCTACAGAACGTTATGGCCATTTTACCGGACACTGTCCCATCTACGCACTCAGTTGCGCGCTGACTTGCCTAGGTGCACGACAACGCACACGGGAACCCTTTAAATACCCCAAGGTCGGGGAAAGAGAGTGGCTACCTCATTTCTTTGAGCTAGGGCTTGTTCTAACAAAGGAAATCGTCCTATACATCCCTCCCATGAACCAAGGTAATGTTTTTGGAGTATTTTGAGTTAATTACTACTCCTAAAACCTTATATTAACAAGGATTAATCTTGGAAGTCCATAGATTTTCGTTCAAATTTTCGTATTGGTCAAGAACACCACAAGTTGGGATATTCAAGAGTTTGGCTACAAGAGGTATGTCTACCATCTCTAACTAATTTATGGTGATTATTTATGTAAGAAATATGTGTTAGGACTTATAGGATGGTGATCGGAAGCCATACGTAACCTAGGTTGTGTTGGTGTTGTAGAATTGTAAAATGGTATAATTGATGAGATTGATGGGTTGGAAGTGAATTGTTGGGGATGTATGTGCTAATGGATGTTGTGGGTTGCCTAAGGATGAGTGTTAGATGAAGAACTTCCATTGAAGGAGGAGTGTCTGATAAAAAGCCTAAATGACCTAAAGTATGGAAATTCTTACTAATAGTTAGATGAAGAACTTCCATTGAAGGAGGAGTGTCTGATAAAAAGCCTAAATGACCTAAAGTATGGAAATTCTTACTAATATTAGTCCAATTGAATTGTGTTTGTAGCTATGGCTTTACAATGTTTTAAATACATTTTTATGACCTTCGAAAAATTCATGGTATGTGAATAAAATGAAAGAATGAAGATGATATGTGGCCATTTTTGCCAAAAATTGGAATGATGATATATGTCCAAAAGTGACAATGAAAAGAAAGGTTTTATGAGATGTTTTAAAGAAATGTTTTTCGGAGTATTATTATGTAACCGAGAAGGTATAGGTTGCAAAAACATATACATGAAACTATACGTGTCGGTGTAGGAAGACGATTGGGAATGAGTCCCTTCGCACTGTGATGAGATTATGCCCCTTAATTGGGGTGAATATATTGCTAGCAAAGACACGTCGATCTACACGGTATTGTGGTGAGACGCTTAGCCGATCGGGCCGAGATCGGACGCCATGCCGCGCACATGGTGATTATATGTTCTTTTTGATAACTAATGATCTCCCAACTAAAATGTAAATGTTTATTTGAATGTTTTACTCATCTTACACTTTTTCCTTATGTTTTAACATGTCATATTAATTTTTATCGATTTTTCTCCTATTTCCATGTGTTCTTTCTTATGTTGACATTCCATTTCATGTGAGGGTACTTAGCTTTATATACTAGTACTATTCCATATGTTTTAACGTCTCTTTTACCGGGGACGGTGCATCTTTAATTGATGTAGGTAGTACCTCAGCCGACGGCATAGATTCACGATAGAAGTGTACCCTCTCTTCAGTTGGCTGTGGTGAGCCTTACTCTACATGGGGGCCCTCATATTGTATCTTGATCTTTTGTATATATTTTTGGGTATAGTCGGGGCCTTGTCCCCGGCATTTTTTTACCTTACTCATGACAGTTTAGAAACTCTGTAGACAAATTGTGGGTCATTTATATATGGGGAATTTAAATGTTGTTTTGTCATTTTGCTTCCACTTAAAACTATTAACTTGTATCATTTTTGTCAACTATCAACGGGACTTTTAAGTTATGGAAATTAGCATTGTGTGTATCTATGTTCTTGGTGGTCTACTACGTATTATTTCTAGGCGCTACGTAGGCTTGCTTGACTGCGTTTCCTCGGTCGAGCGTCGGTCCCTCTCCCAAAGGTTGGGGCGTGACATCAAGTTAACGGAATTAATCATCAACAACTATCACGAAACATAACCAATGTACCACCAATATCCCTATTTTAGACACGAAAAGATACTCATAATGTCTCAACCAAAAACCAAGTTAATTACTAGGGGACTATCACACCATCACTTCAGCAGATTGATGCCATTCGTGACAAAATATTTTTCTTCACAATCCCCACCTCAAAAAAAAAAAAAAAAAAAAAAAAAAAAAAAAAAAAAAAACAGAAAATTTATCATTTTTATCAAAATTATTAGAAAGGAAAAGCCAATTCTTGAAGGCAACTAAGTTCTAATCTTATAATTTCAAAAGCACAATAAAGAGCAAAGAAGCCGTACACATAAAATCTAGCCATACCTTAGCTTTATTAAAAGCTTCTTCAGACTTTTGAAGAGTAAAGGTTTTCTGTTTTTCATCAACTGAAACAGTCATCCTGATGGTAGTTGCAGTAGAAGAAGAACATGGAATGCATCGGCGGGGAGATGTAGAGAAAACCAATGTGGGTCTTTGACACTGAGTAAAATTCGTCTGCCATAAAATCCCTACGCCACTTGAAGCGGCCATTTCTCTACTGACTCTTCCTTTGGTTAGCTGCTGCTATGACTTTGTCTTCTTAAACCTCTATCTATTTTTTGAAAGTGGAATTTTCTTGGCTTGGGAATGAAGATAAGAAATGAAGATAAAGGAAATCCAAAAGAAAATAGAAAGTGACAAAAGGAAATAAAAATTGTTGGTAAATTGCTGCTGGCTCATTTTCTGGTAAAAATAGCACGCTATAACTAGTTTTCGGACTGGTCATTCAAAAATAGCCAGTATTTACGAAATCAATGAAAAATAGCCATTATTTTGCTGCAACAGAGACCGGTCCAGCATAATATACTGGAGTTCGGTGCACCTCTGTATGAACTCCAGCATATTATGCTGGACCGGTATACTTTGCTGACTCCAGTATAATATACGGGAGACTGGAGTACCGGTGCTCCAAACTCCAGTATATTATACTGGACAATTATACTTGCTGGAACTCCAGTATATTCTAGTGTACTTATGCTGGAACTCCATCAAATTATGCTGGAGTTCCAGCATACTTATCCTGGAACTCCAGTATAATATGCTGGAGTTCAAGCATACTTATACTGGAATTCCAGTATAATATACTGGCGTATTTTCCGGGTTTTGAACAATGTTTTCGCTTAGATTTATCTTTATATGAAAAGTGGCCAAATTTCGATTACTTTTGAAACTGGGCTATTTTTGAACGACCAATTGTAAATCTGGCTATTTTTGAATTTCTCCCATTTTCTGTTTCGGGCACATAAAGCCCAAATTGCTGCTGGCTCATTTTTGGTCATATTGATTGACGATCCCTCAAATTTTGGCACAATTTTTCATTTAGCACCTTATTTTTCTGTTGTACCTATTTATCAACTCATATTATTCAAACTTTACCAATTAAACATGAATTTTACAGCTCGGAATCTACAATTGTGTGTGAACCTCTATCTTGTGATTCTTTTGACGTTGCAAACTAAAACCAATAAGAAAGCAACATGCTAATTGTTTACCGTAAAAATGGTAACAACAATTAAATTTGATTATGGGACTCTAAAAATACGTGATCTATTTTTATGCTAGTTGTTATGCGGTTGATGCTATGTGTGAGACTTAGAAACGAGATAAGAGTTAGGAATAAGGTGATAACCAAACCGATAGGTTAACAATCGGGGCCTCGAGCTTGTCGATTTGGGGGCCTCGAGGTCGATTCCGATGCTCGGCTGGGAGCTATCGAAGGCAGTTGGAGAGCGACTAACAGCTATAATAAAATCAACAAAGGCTCTTTATGGCCAATGATAAGCAATAAATGATGAACAATAATGAAGATAATAAATGGAAGCAATAATATCAAGAGAATGTGTTAGAGAGCAGAGAGAATGTTCTTATGTATTTAGTATGGAGCCACGGATGTTCACAAAATGGCAAGGATCCCTCTTATATATGAGGGGAAATTCCAACATAGTACAAGTGCATTTAATATAAAGATATGGAGATGGGACGGCCAGATAATGTTGTGATACGGACTCAGACTAGCCTGACAGACTTTGTCGGCTCTAGCTTTATGCCTTGGGAACCCCCTCACTTTCTTTCGGTAACCGTCGGTCTCAAACTGCCCCGAAGTCGAGCGTCGATGGCCCTCGAGGGATAAAACTCGACCTTGATTTCGAGCCTTCGAGGCGTCATAACGATGGAAAATTGGACCCTCCAATTTTACCGTATACAAATAGTCCCCACGTTTCTTAGAGTAGAGCGACAAGAAACGAACTTGATAACCATCTTTCCGAATTTCCCACGATAATGTTATACTGATGATGTCATACTCGTGACATAGGCTTTTGTGGCAACCGAGGCGTCCCGCTGACTTGTCTTTTTAGTGCCTTTCAATGCACAGTCGATCCTCGTCCTTCCAAGCGATAATATCGCCGCCGATTCAATTCCCAAAATGCATTAATTGCGCCTGCCGATACATCTTTCAAGGGCATTGATGGCGTCGTCGGTTGCGCTTTTCAAAAGAGTATTGATTGCGCCCGCCGGTTACTCTGCCCTTTTTCTATAAAATGGGGCTTTCTGGAGCCAATTCCTCATTCAAGTGTTCTTCAATCAGCCTTTCTCCCATTTCTTCTCTCCATCCTCATCCACTGTCGTTTCCTATGTCTGAGGCCCATGGCCTCAAAGTTGCCTGGCGGCATTCTCACTAGTTATACCATGGCCTTTTCCCGGGGTCCCTCCTCATCGAGCGAGATTGCGCCAACTTGTTGTTGTTGTTACTTGTCGCCGTTGAGTCGAGACAAGGAGATAGGGATGCCGATCTCTTCCGTCTTGGGAAGGTGTTTGGACTATACCGCTGCTCATGAGGTCGTTCGGACTATACACTGCTACTTACCCTCCTACCCCGGCCTGGTGTGGCACTTCACCCCTTTTGCTTTCCGTGGGGTGAAGTGGTACCTGTGGCCGGTAGCTTGCACGGTACAATGTCCCAAGAAGTGGACTCAAAGTAGTCGTGCAAGTGGGGCCGATGCCCGCCAAGTCTTCTATCGGGCCGTGATCTTCCTGGCCTGGGGAAAGCCTTTGCTCTTTGGTGGGCTATGGCATTTTTTTTATCCCTTTCTGCCTCTTAGCTTTCCTCTTCTTCATCTTCCCACTTTCCTCTTCTTCATCTTCGCCCTCGGAGATATCATTCTGGAGGACCGAGATGAGACCCCCGAGGAGGTGGCGGCCGAAGACGCTGCCGCCGAGGAAGCATACCTGAGGGGATGGTGCTCGAAGATATTGCCGCCGAGGGTGAACCCTCGAGAAGAGATTAGACTCTAGGCTTTTCTTGCATATGTACCTTTTTTGCTTCTTTGTTTCTGTGTAAGGGCTCCTTGTGGGCTTTTGTAATCATATGTAAGGACCCCTCGTGGGCTTTTGTAATCGAATGTTTATGAATGAAAAATGTTCCTTTAATTTGTCTCTGATGCATATTATTTTCCCTTTATTTATGCTTGTGTAGAATCTAAGTGCATGACCCCATTGGTTGGTGCAAATGTCGAGCCAGGGTTGGACAGATAAACTCGGGTCGTCGGGACCCTGACTTCGAGTCGAATGAGAGTAGGGCTTCGAACCCCTAAATCGAGACTTAGCCTTTAGACCCTGCGATAATCTTCGAGGGGGGATTCGGTCGGAAGCTCGAGAATGGAGACTGCCTTTAAGCTTTCGAGAGCAGTCCCCGAGTGGGGGTTCGTTCAAACCCGGACCACCCAGAAACTTGCTTTGAACTTAGCGTAGATAGCCTTAAGGCGTTGTAGATAGATCCCGAACGAGGGTCTACCCGAATTTAGATGGCACCCTGAGACCAAGCCCATATGAGTGGAGTTTAAATGTTTATTTCCTAGGAGCCTAACTCCTTTTTGACGGAAGTCCTCGAGGTCGGGTACCACCTCGAGACTTGTAATGATATCATTGGCTTTCTGGAGCCTAACCTTTTTCTGATGGAGGTCCTCGAGGTCGGGTGCCACCTCGGGGCTTGAGATGATGTCGTTGGCTTCTTAGAACCTAACTTCTCTTTGATGGAGGTCCTCGAGGTCGGGTACCACCTCAGGACTTACGATGATGTCGTTGGCTTCTTAGAGCCTAACTTCTCTTTGATTGAGGTCCTCGAGGTCGGGTACCACCTCGGGACTTGCAATGATGTCATTGGCTTCTTAGAGCCTAACTTCCCTTTGATGGAGGTCCTCGAGGTCGGGTACCACCTCGGGACTTGTGTTGATACCGTTGGCTTCTTAGAGCCTAACTTCCCTTTGATGGAGGTCCTCGAGGTCGGGTACCACCTCGGGACTTGCGGTGGTACGGGGATCTCTGTTCCCAAAATATTACATGGTGTCGCCTAATGTACGACATGGCCGCAAGGCTGTCGAGGCGATTCCGCCGGTGCAGCTTCCCGAAGTGATACCGGTCAGTGTTTTTAATCGGCCTCTGAGGCAGGCAGATCGTCACTGTTTTTTCCATATATATGGTTGTTTCTGCTTTTTTGGAGATCCCACCATTCTAAGTAGTTACCCTTCTGTTCCTACGTCAAGCCTTTCATTATTTCAGTACTAACGCACTTGCACAAGTTCCTGCTTTAGTTCTCTAATTTTGTCGTAGCCATGACTGCTACATCTGGGTCTGTCCGACAGAGAGGGGAGAGTTCCACCTCCAGTATTCAGGACCAACGAGAGCGTACCTTTAAGATTACTTCTTCGATAGGAGAGGGACACCGGTGAGGAAAGACTGTGGATTGGGGGAAAAGGTAGTACTGCAGGTATATGAGAGTATTACGGACCGTACCGAGGGGTTTCTGAATGTGCTTATGTATCCTTTCACGCTAAGCCCCCTTAATAGGGTCGTGCTTGATTTATGTCGAAAGTATCAGGTTACCATGGCTCAGATTCACCCGTCATTTTGGCGGATAGTGTTGATGATGAGGTTCTTTGCGGAGAAGGCAGGGCTTGAATTTACGCTTAGTCATCTTATCAGGCTATATCGGCCTTTTCATCATCGAGGTCTGCTAACCTTACAATGCCGGTCGACCACACCTTTCGTTGTTGATGATGAGGAAGATGGAGATCGGGAGCGGATGAATCGATTTGTCCGAGTACGGACCGCTAACATCGTCCCCGTGGAGCTTATGCCATTCCCTGAGGAATGGAATTATATACATAAGTGGTACATTTCGTGCCTTCTCAGTTTTGTTTATGGCAAAGGTTGGTTTCGTAAACATGCCTTCTTGTCTTTTCCTGCAGCGGTTTCATGGGCGCTGGGCGACGTTCCTGATCTGTCGGATTGGGTTTGGAAGTTGGCGACCCACTCGACTTGCGCTGAGCGCAAGTGGCGAGCTTTGTCTCGGGGCAGATAGGAAGCAAAACATCATGGTGCGTGTTGTGCTATTTTTTCCTTTCCCTTCCTTTATTTGGAGAGGTACTTTCCCTTTCTGCGTATTAATCTTGCTGTTGTAGGCATCGGAGAGCCTTCCGAGGTGAGGCGCGATGGAGAGGGGGAAGGGTCGCTAGCTTCCGGGCTAAAGAACGACAACAATAAGCCAGAGATGCCCTTACAGGGCGATGGCGCTCAAAGCAGGGCGAAACTGGACCGAGGCCCCGGA